ATTTCCGAATATATGGGAAGAATGTATAAGTAGTTTGAATTCTGAAAAAAGTTTATCAAGATGGTCAGTGGATTACTTTCTTAAAATTAAGAGGAATTAAAAATTTCAAATACTTCCGTAAAGATGAGTTGCTGAGATCTGGCGTATATAAAATGTGGGTAAAATCGTTTTATTCAAAAAATAATTCCAAATATAAATTTTCGTGTGAATTGGTTTATTTACGTTCATGATGAATTGGTTTAAACTAGCAAACAGACCGACATCTCGTTTAGAATATTTAATTAACGTTTCTCTAGCATGGAAAAGTAAATTTCCTTTAAATTCCCTATATTCGATATGTCATATTTGGTGCAATTAAAAAACATTTCTTACCTTTATCAAAAAATAGAGCAAGTTTTACGCTTAAAATCATACTTTAGAATTCATAAACATTTTTCTCTTATTTAATTTTACAATTCTTTTGAATTTTCTTTATTTCAAATCTATGTAAAATTCTAAGAATTTATGTAAGTTTTATGAAATTTTTCCTTATACACTAATGGGTAAATTTAAATTACTAATAATAGAAGAATTTAATTAAAATTTTAAGTGAATTCTTTCTATATAGGAAAATCTTTTAAGTTCATTGTCAATGTAGATGAGTATTTCTTCCTCGTTGTAATAAGCATGCATTTTCAATTCTATGAAATATGGAATTTTTTTGTTAGTTAAAAATATGCAAATTACTTGCTTGTTACATATACAGGGTGATTCTGAAAGGTATACAACAACATAAAATATCGAGAATGGGTAAAACTTTTGTTCCGGACTAGGTGCCAAATCTCATGGGTTTCCGAGTCCCAGGTATTTTAACGAATTTTCACGAAATTTTTACTTATCCAAGTTTTTTTTGTTTTTAACTTCGGTTCCGAAAAAGGTAGGAACTTAAAACAAACAGTTTCTGAAAGGCCTAGTAAAGGGTTTAAAATGGTTATACTGTTTGATTTTTTATTATATTATTTGGAATATTTTTGTAAATTATTTGGAATACCAATCATTCGAACTTTAGGGAAAATCAAATTTTTCACTTGTTTTAAGTTTTTTTAACCAGATAATTTCGTAAGAAGTTTTTTGAAACCTTGAAATTTTTTTATAGAATTTTGCGCAACTGCTTAAGCTTTAATTTAAGTACTCGAACATTAAAAAATTGTTTATCTACCTATCTTTTCGGAACGAAAGTCAAAAAATCAAAAATACTTGGATAAGTAAAAATTTCGTAAAAATGCGTTAAAATCCCTTGAACTCAGAAACCCTTGAGATTCGGCACCCAGTCCGGAATAAAAGTTTTACTCATTTCCGATCCTCTAACCAATGGTATATGTTGTTGTCTGAATCACCCTGTATATGTACATTCCTATATTGTAATTGGTACCAATAATTACATTCAAAGTTTCAAAGCTACAATTTTCTCTTTAAATAAAAATTAATCTAATTATTTAATTTCGCAAAAAGATAAGCTAAATGCAATAAGTTCACTATTGTTTAAATACACAATATATTTTAGAATAACGTACATTTTTATGATAGTTTATTCCAGGAAAACTCTAAATTTTAAGAAAATTAATTTAAATTTAATGTACGTATACAATATTAGAGCAAATTAGTCTTAAAAATAAAAAATAATTTATTGGGGATTCCCAAATTAAAAATATAAAATAATTTTTTAATAGTCTTCCAGAAAAAAATTTTGCCGCAATTTCATTATTTGTTATTAATTTACTGTGAAAAAAAAAAATATTATTCATACTTTACCTCTAAATGAATTCGAAAACAATTCTTAGCTTGATTTCTACACTACATATGCTACGTTTGTGTGAAGACGTGAAAGAAAGTCTGGTAAACAGTTTCACAATTACAAAAATTTTATATATTTTTCTATTAAATAGACAAAGAATTTAATAGGTACGACGTAAGGTTATTTTATATTATAGATCTGTTTTCGTTATTGGTCCCGTGAACGATCAATATGGAGGGCCGCATGTGTATAGAAAGAGGAGAAAACGGTGATCTACAGCCTTTGGCGGGCAATAACGGGAGCAAAATTTCATGTGTAACGAACCTAATAAATGCAAATGACAGCTTACACAAACTATTTCTAAAAAGCTTGGACTGTCGAGGCTATGAACCTTATCTAACCTACATGAAACTTTAAAATAGGAATATCGAATATCTTAAACGCGTTCCTTAAATGTTTAATTACTGTTAATTATAGAAAACTAGAAATTTTTAACGAAATTTTATAAAATTGTTGGATTTTTACTTGCATTTGGTCCATATAGATTCTAAAATTCTTGTTTCATGCTACTATGTTTAAAATATTTTTCTTTAAAACAATTATTTTATTGAAATTGATGTTTTACTGTTTAAGAATATTTTAAAAAAGTTCTAATTAATTCTTTAATCTTTAAATTAATCATACTTCATAATCAGAATATTTTTTTCTTATGATTTCAGAAATTTACTCGAATTTCAATAATTTCCCAATAACATTCCCTGTTATGATGACGAAGATAAATTCAATACTCACTATGTGTATATTAAGTATGCACATTTCTAAATTTCTTAATGAAATTTATGTACATACATATACATACATATGTACGTTTCAGCTATAGTTTCACATTTATGACGTAAATCATGTCGTCTTTCATTATTACTATTCTCAAAATTTTAAAAGTGATTGGTTATTTTATACCCGTTCAAAACAATTGTTAAAATAAGTCAACAAACGTCTTATATGAAAAAAAAAACAAAAATCTCTTCAAAATTTGGGTACTTACGCATACATGCTTATGAAAAAATTAATTTAAATATTAAAATACGTCCAATATTTACTAAAATCTTTACCTCAATGCGTCATTTATCCATTAATATGCTTTTACTTTTTTCTTTTTGTTTGTATTATCGGGATTTCCTTTATTTATCTTTTAGCTTTTCGAATCTTAAATAATAATGAGTAAGCTATTCATTGAGAGATCAGTGATATATATAAAGAAATAACACCAATATTATTGTTTTCATGAAAGATATGATGAAATTGGTATAACGTTTGAAGTACTGATGAATTTTTTTGAAAACTGTTAGCGGTTGGTATTGATTGGGAGATAACAATTTCATTAGACAAATCTGGTTCATTTTTAATACCGATCTGCGTGCAATATCTAAAAATATGCATGTGTTTCAAATTTTAAGTCCCAGTTGCAACAACATACGGACGGAAGAACATGTGGATAAATGGACAGACATAGCTATAGATCGACTTACAATTTGATTCTAGCAAGAAAAAAGATAAAGTTTTATTAGAGGCTTAAGGGGTAAATTCTGGAGAGAATTGATCTGATTTCTGTCCTAGGTGTTAAGTTAAGTACGTTAGGGTAATAATATACGTTAATAGAATTTACCCTAACGTAACTTAACGTATTAAGTAAATTCTATTCTGGGTTTTTTCATGAGGCGGGGTAGTCAATTTAATGATTCTTGTGTGGCAAGACATATTTTTGTTGCTTTTTTTGAGGCGCGGTTTGGATTACGTATATTAGGTCTGGTCTCCTTTACGTAATGTTGATATAGATCGTATTGAAGATGTACAGAGGCGTTTCCTTTGTTTTGCTCTTCGTGGTATAGATTTGTCGGATCCTTTTACATCTTTCCCTTATAAAAGTGACTTAGCTTTTGGACTTAAGGTCACTTCGTTGTCGCAGGGTTGGTTCTTATATAGTTTTCATTTATCAACTTTAATGATGGGTAGCGAGGTTGTTCCGGTTTTATTGGGTCAAATATGTTAAAGGGACAATCACAGTAACTTAAGGTCAGTCGAGCTTTTCAATGTTCTGCGTCATACTTTTAGACTCTGAGATGCATGAGCTGGTGACGAATATATTTTTCGCAAAATTAACTTGTATTCGTTTGTTTTTTGATCTAAATTGAGTTAAAAAAGGCTTACAATTTGTTATACATATTTATATTAATATTTTAAAAGATTTTCTCAAAATTGGTTTGATCAACTTTTCATTCACAAATAAAACCTGTATAAAACTAGTTGTTAATACATAGTTGTTGATATATCATTATTAAACTTTGAAAATATCTAAATATTATAATGGATTTGTAGTATTCAAAAAATTATTTCAACGTCTTAATTTTAGCTCAGATTTTTGGTTCAAAACAGTAATGTTAACAAGCTTTAAACATTTTTTTAACAGTTCTTTTATTATTGCTCATGATTTTTTCCTTCTTTACTTTCAAGGTATTTTTCGACTTAATTGAACTTTTCATACTTACATGTCGAAGTATGTGCGAATGTATAATGGTGTGATATAACTAGGCTTTTAAGTTCAGTTCTTTTATCATATGTGGTTTTTCATCAATTACATATTTACGTGCATATATATATCATTTTTTTTATGTAACTAAATTTTAATTTCATTAAATAACAAAAAAAAAAACTGTAAAAAAAACATTATTTTATAATAAAGAAAATGGCTTAATTATTTTTAGCCTTGACTTTCTTCTATACAGTAAAACTGCAGTTCAGGTTCACTACATGTTCATGTTTAATTCCTCAACAAAATTATTATTATATTTTATTATTTCAATTAATTTTAAAACGTTATATGCATATATAGAACTTGTTAAGGTATCACAGAAGGAGGTAATATTTTAACAATCTGTTATCTGTTATGTATAAAAATATAGAATGTTATGGGAAGCTCGGATGTTACTATTTTTATTTTTTTTTTGATTTGTTACAGTTGCTATTACAATATTGTAATAATTATGAATTACAAAATCTTTATGAATTTATATTATGCAGTTTGGTCTTTATTGCTATTGTAGAATAAAGCTTTGATTTAATGAACATCCGACTTTAAATTCAATTTTGAATACATACATACATACATACATATTGTTTAAGCATAAAATAATCTTATAATTTTTCTTTTCAAATTATCTAGGGCAATCATTAAGAATTAAGTATAATAATTTTGTGTAAAACAATGTACATTAATTAATAGACTTATGGGACTAATAACATCCGTAAAGCTATATTACTTCATGAGTTATAATTATTCACCAATTATTGCAGCCACATTTAAGGTAAGAGGTTATTTTGAAAATACAAAAAAGATTCTTATAAGAAGTGCACTGATTTTGAATGATCTTATTTGTCTGCTATTCGAATGATATATTGAAAAGTTGTGCACTTGCTCAAATATTTAATCTCTTTTCGACCAATAAAACTGTCCTCCATATACATTATATTGAAACAAATCTTTTACAGAAACAAACAAATGGAGGAATAACTATATACATAGTTGAACCTATTGCCTAGATGACTTCTAAAACACATTCTCACACTCTTGATCTCTTTCTGTAAGCTTAAAAATATAAATAAATCAAAGATATATGAAAAATAGTTACTTTGACACAACACAGAATATCGAACTTTTTTAAGAATCAAAATTTTATTTTTAGGGTTGTTTGTGCCTTTCAAGCGTATTGGGAGCATCATTGCAGAGATATGGAACGGACTTCGAAACACTTTCACAGGAAATTTGGAATTTTTTCTATCTTCCTGCAACAAAAAAGCTCTGAAAATAATCGAATCAAGTAATAATAAATAATCGATAGTAATAAATAATCGAGCCCCACAATATACTTGAATTTTCTTGATTTAAAGCTTTAACCGATGAGGGACTTAATCAATGTTTTGTATCGTGTAGCATGTTCAATACATGTCACAATCAACAATCACAATCAGGGGCCATCATTATATTCATTCTAATTTTTTTCTAAGATTTTGCGGTAAATTATTTCATCGATTACCCCTCAAAAATTTTATTTCGTTTTACATTTAATTCTGCAGGAAATCATCCACAATATATACGAGTATACATAATATACTCGTATAATATGATTTTTAAATATAATTGTATAGCCTGAATGACCTTGACTATGATTTTCAATTTGCTAAAAAATCACTTAAGTATAAAATGTTATTTTAATAGAAACATTGGTATTACAATACTTAATGGCAATATTAAATATAATTGGGGAAATATTATAATTATTAAATTGAGTATTTGTATTAGAGTAATTAATAGTTAACATACATAGTTACATATTATGTTTTGTCCATTTATTAGTACAAAAGACATGTAAGTCAAAAAGTGAAACTTTTGAGTTAAATATGCCATTCGAATGAGAAATTTAAAATTTGGCACAAAGTTATGTTTCTACAATTTATAATTTATCTATGATTTATGACAACATTTATCAATACCGCATGCTTATAAAATAAAATAAATTTATAAAATTAAATTAAAAAATTTAAAGCTGCTGTTAATTACCTCATTGTTAATTACAATCTCATGTTAATTACCATTCCTTACTTATATGTATTGACGTACATACTTTAAATTTGGTAACTTCAAATAAAATTTTCTGCAAGTATGGCTTATATTTGTAACAAAGTTGTTTCGGTGTTTCATTTAGCCCATTATAAAAATTGGACAATAACTTAACGTCTAAATTTTGATTTTTTGGAGTTAAGTTATTTTTACACTCAGCAAATGGATGATGTATAAAAGGTGTTGATAGAATAATGTTAATTAAAAATTTTCCCTACTGTGAATTATTTAAAAAAAAATAATTAAAATCACTTAATTATAAATATATAATTAACTATTTAATAAGCCAAGTTGTACTCACATTTTTTTCCTCTATTCAAAAGCCTTTTATTAAATCGTTTGTAAAATATACAAAAAGGTACAATTAATTAAAAAATCAATCAGCGAACAGGAAAATTTTTTCCTGCTATCATAAATAAGTTCGAAATTCTATTTTAGTTTAATTTATCGTTCTTAAAGTTATTTTACATAGTTATTTATTGTATAAATTTTTTTTATCTATTAATAAATTATAAAAGACTGGTTTCAAGTAATTAGAATTTCTATAAAAAGAAGCTTAACACGATTCTAAGAACAAAGAGAGTTTTAATGTTTTATAAAATAATTGCATACTTTGAAAGGTGTTTGATTAATGTTAATTGTAACAATGTTGTATTCTTAAAATATGGAGTCATCTGCAGCAACATGATATCGCATTAAATTACTTATTACAGCTTATAGAAAGTTTATGTGGTTATTCAGCGTAAATACAATATTTTAACATAAAATTTGCTGTTTATTTTTGATTTCGGGACTTATTATTAATTTCTTTTCCTAACTTATCAGACGTAACAAGTTGTGGTACTCTAAAATATTATTTGACATGATCAAAGGGTTAAAATTCAGGCCTAATAATAAATAATTCTGAGAAATAAGGCTTAAAAAATTTTGCTTTTGTTTTGAAAAGACTTTAGTTTAGTTATTTTTTTGGTAGTAAAACACATAACTAACTATGACAATGGCATGTTAGTATCTTTAATGCTTTCCTGATTCCTTCGATGAAAAAAAAAATTTTTTTACCCCAGATTTTCTCGTCAAATAGACATATTATACCTGAGATTTTTGCAAAATTATGTTATATCAAAATGACGATCAGAATACAAAGCTCCACTTCTTGTGAAAAAAACAAACATTAGATTAGTAAAGTGTAGTTATGAGTAAATGACGACTAAAACAAAATTTATTAGAAAAATTTATTAAGCATTTTGATTTTGTACTTAAATTTCTGTGAAACTAAAAAAATTTTCGACACCACTAATACACCGTTCAGTAAAAAGGAATTTCATATAAGCTCGTATTTTTCTACTTATCAGATTTCCGGGAAAGGTGGAGGGAGGGGGGGGGGATGATTTTCAGGGTCTAAAAAGCAAAATGTTCTTAAGTGTTTTTTGTTCGGCGGGAAATATTCTATAAATTTTTTCTTCATGAATTCGATCGAATCTTGGACACGTTGTATATTTTTTCAAAGGAAGAGTGTTCCTTTGAAATTAAATTTTTAAATAAAATTTCGAAATTTGTATTCAATATATTAGTTTTTATTAAACATTAAGATACAATACAATATTATTTTCTTATTTGTTTCTTGTGTTTTTTTTTGTAATTTATTTTATACATTTAACTCCTAATTTATAACTTCTTTTTTTTTTACTTTTTTTTTGTTTTTTTTTATTTACTATGCTTTGTATGCTTTTATTTTCTATCACTCAGTTTTAGTAATGTTTTTTTTTTTTAATTATTTATTTATTTATTTTATTACTTATTTATTTATTTATTTAGTTATTTTTAATTTTACTATACAATTTTTATAATTTTTGTACATACTATGTATGTAATTAAATTCCATATATATACATATATTGATATATACATATTATGTATATATGTAATAATATATACATATATTTGTATTCGTACATATTATATTTATTCAGGTCGCTTTAATAGAACCTATAAATTATTGAGAAAATTAAATTTTCAATTTTTAAAAAAATTTGTTTCATTTACGTATATAGATTTTAGAAGGAAGATGGGAAGGAGGAGGAGCCCGAATACACAATAAAATTTATAATAACAAAACTTGTTTTGATATGAGGTTTAATGTTATATAATTTGTATAATTATAAGTTATTCCAACTTTGAAACTAATTCCAACAAATTGTTTGAATGTAAATATTTCGTTATAAAATTTAATAATTCATAATATTTTTAATGTTGTTTTAATATTAAAAATTCATCTTTTAATTTTCAAATTATATAATAATGTATATATATGTGGAAAAGTACATATATTATATGCTTTTGCTTCAATAATTCTAACAAATATTAGAAATTTTTGCAACCACAATACTGCAAAGCAATAACAAGTCTTTTCATAAACGCAGTATATTGTGATATTTGTGATTAAAAAATGCGCAATATTTCTGATCATATAAACATGGCTAATTTTTCCCAATTTAACAAAATTAGTATGAGCAGCGCAATTAATTCGTATGAATTATTTTAATTTTATAGAATAGTTAAAAATGCATTACACGTATTTATCACGCAATGTTTTTGCAGTATTGCGTTTCGCAGTTATTGTTTTGCTGTATTGCGTTTATAAAAATTCTCAACATTATATACTTGTACTTTTAACGCATGTCACAGTTCTTAAAATTGAAATGAATTTTTATTATATTATAATGTTTTATTAAAATTATCATTAAAACACACCTCAGTATTGGAAAAGTTTACAAAGTTTCACAATAATTTATTAATAGAGAATTGAATGGAAAATTTTTTATTTTAAAATATTCATTAGAATGTACATACATATATGTATAATTATGATTGCAATTTCTGTGTATACATTTTGGAATAATTTAGAATGTATATATATACGTAGATAGAAACTATTGTAGATCTTAAATTTTTTCAAAGTAGTTTATGAATAAATTTGTTTCCCTCCTAGAAAAATGAATATTTTTTTTCAAGTTTCTCCTCTTCTTCTAAAATATTCTTGCTATTTTATTGTACAGTATTATGGGCATTTGTAGATCAAAAACAAACCTGAACGTGAAATACACAATAAATATAATAGTAATTTTTTTTTTCAAAAATTACATATAATATAAATAACATATATATATATATATATATATATATATATATATATATATATATATATATTTTAATTGCATAGATTTATTTTAAAAACTTATGTATTACAATATTATGTACTTATATGTATATATATTTAATATAAATATCATTTTTTCTCAATTGAAATGATATAAGAAAACAAATTTTTCAATTTAAACAATAAATTTTCAATTGTACAAAATGAAATTATATAAAATTATTATTTTTAATTTTATATTAACAGTATGAAAAATTACATGGAATAAAAATTATGAAAATTTTACTAAATATGTTTATAATTCATAATTTTTTATTTTTTTTTTTTTTTTTTTTTTTAGAAACCTGGTACGATCATTTTAATATCGTATTATAATATAGAAGAAACAGAACAAAAATATTCTTTCGGTTTTATTATAATACACTTATAACGTAATTTTAAATAATATTAGTTATATAACTGCATATTATATTTTGGATATATTTGTAAGATGGCAGTTTAAGATTTATTAAAAATTTTAATTAAAACTTCTTTATATTTTAAAATAAATTAAAATTTTCTAATACAGAGAAACGTCAATTTTCTAATACAGAAGAGTAAAAAATTAATTAAATTATATTAGCTTTAAATTATATTAATTAATCATTATAAAAATATTTTATAATATTTCTGTTCTAAATTATTAAAATGTTAGTGTTTTTTCATACGCAACAAGAAACGCTACTACAATTACATGGCATATTGGCTCCCCTGTCATTATTTTCTCAAAAATGTGAATAAAATGAAAAATTTGTGAATATTAAAAGTTATATTTCACCGAAGAAAAAAATTGATGAATGATAAACAACTGTTGTGTGTGAATGATAAAACCATTGATAGCCGGCCCCATTATTATGAAATTTGAATTTTCTTACTAAATATGCAAATCAATAATACTATCCTTTACTACCATAATAATGAAGAGAATAATCGTAATTATTATAATGAAAAACTGGCTATATAACATATTCATATATTATGAATACGTTCTATAGTCACTTAGCAATGTTTAAATGATCTTAAATGAGGGCTAATGGGGAAAACTCTTTTTTTACCAACTTTATATTACAAGTGTAATTGTACATATTGCAATATTTTCGAAAATTAAGTATCTTTCTTTTAATTAATAGATTGTAATGAATT